ACACTTTTGAAATGTTTTACTTTACATGTAATGAATCTAGAATATATGAAAGTTGCACTTTTTGAAATAAGTAAAAAAAAACTTTTCATTTTTTGAAACTTTTTCACGATATTCTAATTTTTTTAGATGTACCTGTACAAGAAGGCTCTTGCATTTACATACTTATCTACATTGTGAGAAAATCCTTCCTTATAATCACAGTTGGTTTTATTAAATCACAAGCTAGAAATACTAATAATTGGTGAGAACTAAGGTGCACTATTCATCAGATCAAACTATTTGTGTGATTACTAGTGTTGTTTTTGGCGGCCTGTTTTAATTTTATTTTTAGTCTAGTCTTTGTGTGAAGCTGTCATTTTAGTTTTTATTAGTTTTAGTCACGTTCATACTCTTTTTAGTCTAGTCAAGTTTTAGTCAACTAAAAGTCTGAGCATTTTAGTCTTATTTTAGTCAGAATTATCCATGACTATTTTCGTCTAGTTTTGATACTGGATTTTTGACTTTCATGAGCTGTAAGCTCTAATCATCAAAATTAAAACAAAAACACTTTTGAAATGTTTTACTTTACATGTAATGAATCTAGAATATATGAAAGTTGCACTTTTTGAAATAAGTAAAAACATTTTTTTTAGATGCACCTGTACAAGAAGGCTCTTGCATCTACATACTTATCTACATTTTGAGAAAATCCTTCCTTATAATCACAGTTGGTTTTATTAAATCACGAGCTAGAAATACTAATAATTGGTGAGAACTAAGGTGCACTATTCATCAGATCAAACTATTTGTGTGATTACTAGTGTTGTTTTTGGCGGCCTGTTTTAATTTTATTTTTAGTCTAGTCTTTGTGTGAAGCTGTCATTTTAGTTTTTATTAGTTTTAGTCACGTTCATACTCTTTTTAGTCTAGTCAAGTTTTAGTCAACTAAAAGTCTGAGCATTTTAGTCTTATTTTAGTCAGAATTATCCATGACTATTTTCGTCTAGTTTCCAACCTTTCTTTAGTCGCGGCACCCTTTGGAAATTTTAACAAATTTGTGGCACCCTACAAAATTTATTTTGTCATAATATTTGAATTTCTAACTTCGATGTGCTAATTTGAAAAGTATAGATATTCGGTACAACAGGGAAGAACTGCAGAATATAATGTCATACAGATATTTTTAATATAGGTGCACGATTCATCAGATCAAACTACTTGTGTGATTACAAGCTGCAATGCAGATCAAGGCAGCAGTAATGTGCATGTCCACTGACAGAGCAAGCGGAGGTGAGCAGGCATTACTTTACATGTAATGAATCTAGAATATATGAAAGTTGCACTTTTTGAAATAAGTAAAAAATAATTTTTTTTAGATGCACCTGTACAAGAAGGCTCTTGCATCTACATACTTATCTACATTGTGAGAAAATCCTTCCTTATAATCACAGTTGGTTTTATTAAATCACGAGCTAGAAATACTAATAATTGGTGAGAACTAAGGTGCACTATTCATCAGATCAAACTATTTGTGTGATTACAAGCTGCAATGCAGATCAAGGCAGCAGTAATGTGCATGTCCACTGACAGAGGTGAGCAGGCATTACCAATAATGTCTCTATGGGAGCCGAATAAATGTTTGAGTAGAGCAAGCTGTGACAATGATAAAACTGTTTAGAAATACTCAACTAAAGGAGATTAACTAGGAAACTAAAAAAATGGGAGTGATCGGATGCATGTTTACAAAAATTACAGCCTGTCAGATAACTTACACTTTAAGGGACCAAAACTTTAAAACCAAGGTACCGAACCATCATTTTTGTGTACTGTTATATCCCTAGCATATATTGTAATTAATAGCATTTTTGCAAATTTTATTTGATTGACAGTTGAATATAACCATTTGTTTAGAAAGATTAAGACTAATGCTGACCTCTACGATACTCCGCAGATCTCTCACATACATCCGCTCCGTCTCAATGATCTCCATGACCACACGGTCCAGGTAGGTGAGTTCAGGGTTGGGTGCCATGGTGCTGGCAGCAAATGGAGAGAAACTGTTGGAAACGGAGGAGCTGTTGTTGCTGTTGTTAACAGTGTTGCTACTATTTTGTTGGAGGAATAGGGTGGTTGCTTGGGTAAGACTAGTGCCCTGAGTCTCATCCGGATCAGCAGCCGTTAATTCCAGATCCACGTTGTCCTCAATAGGCACACCAGCAGATGGGATACCTGACAGGAGAACGTCTTCCCGAGAGGAACCAGACCCGGATGAGATGCTGGAGACCACGCTTACGGGCCTCTGGACTTCTGTGAAGTCAGAACAATCAGACAGTGTAGCAGTAGAGGCCCGGTCATTACTGCCAACAGAGGCGGTGGACAACCGAGGTGATTCTAAAGTAGAAATGGCAAAAAAAGAAAAGAAAGAGAGAGTGATTTATCTTCACATCATAGACAATCACAAGGCATTTTTCACACTGAAATGGCTATCCTTATAATCCTATGACAGCACTGATATTCCTTATCATCCAATAAGTCAAAAGTAGGATTCTACAAGAATGCAGCAATTTTCAGATTTTGAGTTTATTTGTGAACTGATGTTCAGCTATTGTTTTTAACAGACAATTTCTTTTAGGCTCATCCAGTCATCAAAGCTTGATAATACCGCAGGTGTCACAGAAACGGAAATGTACCTTCCACCAAGCTGAGTGCACGCAAAATTAGAATCAATAAGTGAGACACTTTTTAAAGTCATTTAGTTTGACTGGACATGACAGAAAGTGGTGATATCTACATAGGTGAGTTTCTATTTTTTAATTAGTATGTTCATTTATACCAATTAGATTCATTCATAGATTGTTTTGTGGATGCAGTATGCTAACAAACATGGGAAGCAGGACTTATTGAATTAAAAAAGCATAATAGGCCAATCATAGTGTGATGGAGGCATTGCCTTCTCTCACATAACTTTTTCCCATTTATTCTCAACTTTAGCATATCCACATCACGCATTAGGGGGTCTAGTAAAACATTTCAAACACACTTTAACCTCATATTTCATAATATTTGCTGTGTTTTATTTTTGTACTATTGATTATTTTCTCCTAAAATTTTTCAGGAGACACTGCCTCCCTTGCCTACATGGAGAACGAGCCCCTGAAGCATATTTTTCAATCAAAAAAAAAATGTTTTTTGGTCACACCACCATCCCTAATCCCTGTTTTACACATGCTCCACTTGCAGTGCATATGCGGTGCATATTTTTTTCTGTGCCCATGTCAACAAGTTAGTGCATTCACACTGCACATGGATGCGGTCCGGCAATGCGTTCCAGGAGTGGTGCATATGCAGCAGTGCAGTGATCGTTTCCACACTGAGTGTTTTTGATGTGCTGCACACGCTGAATTAAAGGGCCATTGTTCATGGTAAAAATTAACATGGACTGACATGAAAATGTAGTAATCACACTGTAAATGCTTCTAATTAAAGCCTACTGTATTTCACAGTCAACAACACTTGGCATTTTGGCTAGGTTTAAAGACGGGAAATGTGCACTTTTAGATAAATGAGGTGACACAATGGATGGCACTCGTAAAGGTAGAAAAACAAAACTCTTTATGACCCGCAGGATTGCTTGTAATAAAGATTTAATTGCAAAAGAAAAGTCACGAGAGTCAACTTTTTAAGAAAGATTGTATTAAAAAGTGTACTGTGAATCACAAAGCTGAAAAGCATTTTCAGTAACAAAATGTGGATTTGGAATTTAAATAATGGATAAAGTTTGCGTTTGTGGTATACAGCTCCAGATCATTAGCAGACTGCAAACGCGTCTTATGTGAAAGCACAATGAGCCCGTGCTGCTACTGCACCACATACATACTACACATGGACTGCATACAGAGCACTCCAAACAGAGTATGTGTGAAACAGGCGTAATCCCTAGAAATTATTAGCAAGAAAGAAGTGCATTTACAATTAGAATGTCTTTATTGTCATTGTACAGGTGTACAATGAACATTTTTAATCAGGATTTAAAACAGAAACAGCAGTTTAATGCATTCCATCTGATAAAGTAATAAATAATGCAAAGCATATTAACGTAGACTTTGACCGGCCAGAGAATAGCCTCACAATCACATTGATCAGAACTGAACCTAACAAAAGGACAATATTGCAAGAACGGAAAGGAATACTGCAAGAAAGGAAACTGGTCATTACAGCATATGTCTACTAGAGGAAGACCACCTTCTGAATGAAAATATAACAACAATAATATTAGCTAATGGTGTATTTGCTTTAATATAACCTTGATTTATTATAAAGAACATTTTCAACAGGTACCTCATTTGCCCTGAGGAACCGTGATATGAAGAGTTTCTCATTAAATTATAATATTTACAGCTATGTTTTTAAAAGCACTTTCTTAAGGTCCAAATTAAGATTTATTAAAAACTGTCAAAAGACAGACAATCAATAAACACATACTTGCTCAGAGTCAGCGTCTCCCGTCTACCTTTCAGCTTATAAAAGTGAACTCGAGGTCAGCAGTAGGACAGAGGGAGGAAACTCATTTTTCTCCCTTCATTTCCATACGAGCATTTTGAAAGTAAACACTTTCAAACAGCACTGACGTCTCCTGCCAGCCCATCCCATTTATGCCTGGTTCTGGACTTTCACCTCTATATCTTCAAACCGTTGCTGGTTGCTCAATGACATCATGTGTTAAAAATAAACAATGCTACAAAGTCATAAAAAGTAATATGTCTTTCATTTTTAATCCACATTTTCTAAGCCAAACTCTTTACATAAAATAAATGTTCTACTGTTTAAGACTAATATTTTTGTAGTGCCTTGACTGGATGTTCAGTTCTTCTATGATAATTTGCCTATAGGCCAAACTCAAGTGAATGCTAATGTACAAAAAGAGTATACTTTGGGCTTTAGAGAGCTTAGCTTTCGTCAGCCAATCAGATTCAAGCATTCAACGGCCCCGTAGTATAAGTTGAGATAAATGTTCTAAATGTACTTATTGTCCTAAGTATATTGCAAATATTACAAAAAGTATTGATAAGAAGTAATTTAATTTATACTACGGAGCCATTGAATGCTTGAATCTGATTGGCTGACGAACGTTCGAAGGTGTGCAATTATTTTCAGGGAAACGCATGGCGAACGTAGTTCCAGGCAGCTCTCTTGACCGCATTACAGTTCCATATCACTTCGCCAAATGATTTCAGTTATTTCAAAGGTCCTTACAGTCTACAACAGCAAAAGAACCAAAACCCACAACGACACGGGCCAAACAAATAAATATAGTAAACAATAGGATAAAAACGACAGATCATTTCCATGTTTTTGCCACAAAATTACATTTTATTATGTACGGAAAGCACATATCCTATCTCTCCCTCACAGACGCACATACAGTTTGCACACACGTTAACATATGCGCTAATGTTGTTAGCGCTACTCTGACAGTAGTAAGATAACTGTTAAGTTAACAACATGACTACATGACGGAGCAGTCCCAGCGATAAAAGATCCCGGACATGACTAGGAACTCCTGCAAAACTGCATCAAATGCCTGTGTTTTGTTGCCAATCGGCCCGTAAGTGTCTTCTGCTCCACCCACGGCTCGCCTCGATCCCAGACCAATACAATTAGTGTGCCTCCTCTATTTTAAAACCCACGAGCCGCCACTGTTCCGGGGGTAAAATACACGTAAAATACACGTTTTTGGTAGGGTTTCTCTGATAAAATTTGAGACTTGGCAACACTGTCCAGGAGTTCGGCTGTTTTCGGAGAGAATCGTAAAGCTGTATCTTTCTTTTATAAATCTGATAACACTGAAGACTTTTCGGAGATGTGAATGATGAAATACGAGTACATTTGGGACATGTGTACAGTTGAAACACCTTAAATAACTTGCGTGCAAAGGAACCCTGAGCCGTGATTTTTGCTCCACACGTCGATTTAATGTTAATAAAATTCACAATTCATTTCAGTTCATGTCTCAGAATGTGTATTTTTTGTTTGTAATTTCACAGTTGTAATAAAATAACGTGAAAGCACCGCTTTTCTATCGCGAATGTGCCGAATCTGCTGATGTAATTATAACCGCAAATGATAGAGAAGGGTAGGGGGAGACTGGGGGAGTGCTGAGCTCTCGTGCCTCCGTTGGTAACAAAAATTAGCCAATCAGCATCGAGTGTTCACTTCATGTTATTGGGGTCGCTTCAACCCGCGGACATGAAAAACAACTCGCGGCAACAGTATTAAAGTAGCCCAATTCCACGGGAAAAACCGCAGACTTGGCAACACTGTCCAGGAGTTCGGCTGTTTTCGGAGAGAATCGTAAAGCTGTATCTTTCTTTTATAAATCTGATAACACTGAAGACTTTTCGGAGATGTGAATGATGAAATACGAGTACATTTGGGACATGTGTACAGTTGAAACACCTTAAATAACTTGCGTGCAAAGGAACCCTGAGCCGTGATTTTTGCTCCACACGTGCGTATTAGCATTCTCTTTGATCATGGAAAATTTGAAAGGTGTGCGTCTTTCCACTCCAAAGATATCGGCAAAAGTTTTTTTTTCCAAGGTAAGATTTTCATTTCACCATGTCCCTTCCACAATGAATAGCTTATTATCCTTTTATGACTCTTAAATTTCACGTATATCATTAGTAACTTTACTCTGTGCTCGAAAAATAGACATATTTTATGATATTGTGCCATGCAAAGTCTTTGCATAATCTAGAGAAACATGCGAGTATGTCATTGGGGTACGGTTGAGACACAGTGTATCAACTGTACCCGCACTTCACTAGTACTGACTAGAATGGCGTTATTTTTAAAAGTGTTTCTGCAGTTACACATAATATTATTCACATTTCCTATTTCTATTATTGCCCCTGGAAAGAAAATGAATAGCTTATTATCCTTTTATGATTGTTAAACTTAACGTATATCATTGCAAACATTACTCTGTGCTCTAAAAATAGACATATTTTAAGACATCGTGCAATGCAAGGTCTTTCATAATGTAGAGAAACGTGCGAGTATGTCACGCAGTGTCTCAACTATACCCGGAGTGGTGTCCCATTGCGTCACATGCTGTTTCGTTGTACAGTGTTATGATAATAGGTTAAAAGTCACATTTACACACATGCTACGCAAATTATGTTTAAAAAATATATATTTGTGATATGATAACTAAGCGAATATTTAATTACTTAATACTGATTTCTCACTAGAAATAACTTCAGACACCATCTTTATTTTGCTCAACCATCACAGGAACACACAGGATTGTGGGTATCAAGGCAGCGAAGGATACATCTATTGTGC